AAGTCACCGCGCAGCGAAGGCCAGGGTACTCTGGCGAGCATAACCTGGCTTGGTTGCGTGAGAAACGATCCCCAACAGAAATGTGCTGCCCATGTTGGACAGACATTGGCACCTCCCTGTCGCTATCTAGTCCATCATGAACCCACGTCTACATCGCGGACTGAAGTGAGGGGCTGAAGCAGGCGAGCAAATATCTCAGATGCAGGTTTTGCATCAGGTGTTGGAGCCAGATTTCTCTGTACCGATGTTCTGGCTCAAAGGAAAAACATGCACTGCGCTTGCTGCTGCTACAGTTGGTCACGGAGCCTGGTTCCAGGTCGGGCGGCCCAATGGGGGGCGGCAGGCAGCTGTGAATGCTGGGCCCTGGCCGCCGCTCTGGCGCCTCCGGCCAGGAGCTGGGCCCGCGCCGACGGACCGGCGCGGACAGCGGGGATGCCTGCGGACGAAAATTGGTTTACTGGAGCCGCGCCGACACCGGAGGCCTCGCCAGGAAGGGCCGCGTCCGGCAACATCACGATCTCCATGGGACAGCTCCACACGCTCGTGGCGGGGGCAGTCCGTGAGACCACGAGCGCAGCGGCCCCGGCTGCTGCGGCCGTGGGCGAGGCGGAGCAGAAGAGCAAGAAGAACGACAACGACCGGGACGAGGACAAGAGCATCTTTGACCCATCGAGGGCAGCAGCCCCTGCGTTCTGGCCCAGTGACACTCGGTGGAAGAAGGACGACTGGCAGGCCGACAGCTGGGACAAGTCGGTCGAAGACGCGTGGGAACATCCCAGCAGCTGGGGCCGGTCATCTGGCAGCTGGGGCGGGGGCAAGGGAGACTACTCAGATCCCCCAGCCTGGCCAGGCTGGACACACTACAGGCAATGGCGGCGCGCGCCGATGGAACAACAACACCGACGTTCCAGTGCGGCGGCATGGCGACAGGTTCTTGAAGCTGTTCTATTGGAATGTGCAGGCGAAGTTCGAGGACATCCCGGACGGGAGCCTGCCCGGCGCCTCCTGGATCACGACGGCGCTCGGCCCAACATGGACCTCATGGCAGGAGGACGACCGGGTGATGACCTCCGTCGAGCGGGGCGTCGCGCACTCTTCGAGGCAGCCCGTGAGGACAGGGAGTTGCTGGACGCAGCTTGTCGGGCGACGCGAGGCACTGTTCCAGGAGGCGGGGACGAACGATCTCCGGCTCTCTCCGAAGATGAAAGGACTGCTGCTGGAGGAGGGCACAGGACTCACCGCGCAGGGGGTGCAGAGTCTCTGCGCCCTCACCCGCGGCAAGCTCGACTTCCAGGACACGAGTTGGGCCCTTCGGCAGGTGGATGCCACAGTTTGGACGCCCGAAATGGGTACGGAAAGAATGGGCACAATGCCCAACAGCAAATGTTGTCCCAAACCAACAGCGGCCGCTGTTGGGCGGGCGACCTCCTGTCTCGAATGGACACAGGCCGCGGCGGCGCGGACAGCGAGTCCTGTTCAGAATGAACAAGAACTGCTGTTGGGCATCGTACCCATTCTTTCCGCGCCCATTTCGGGCGTCCAGGCACAGGCTCTGAGAGGCTCCCTCCACCTCGGCCGGCCAGCACGTCGCTTGCAGCAGGCACCGAGGCCGAAGAGCACGGCGCCCTCGACAGTCTCCTCCCCTGTCCCTCGTAATTACTCGGTTGGTGAGTCCGAGGGTCTCGAAGAGGACGACGGCGACTACGACGACTCCCACGACGATGACGAGCAGGACGAGGCAGTTCTACTTGCAGAGCTGGAGGACCTTGACCTGGACGAGACTCCGGTCACCGGGGCGCTGGCTATCGTTGAGTCTGGGTCCAACACGAGGACCTGGAAGCAGAACAAAGACATCAAACGAGCAGCCAAACGTGATCGAGAATGCTTCGGAGCACGTCCGAGGTCAGGAACGGCAGGGTCAGCCCCTCGCCCTCCGCGCCCAGCGGGAGGACGAAACCGACGCGACGGTCGAGGCGGCGGCCGCGGGCGCGGCGACCGCGGCAGGGGGGCCGGACGAGGCGACGGACGGAGACGTCCACGTCTCTCGCCCGAGCAGCTGATGAAGATCACCCGCTGCGGCATATGCAAGGACAAGGGACACTGGCATCGTGAGTGCCCCAACAAAGACGACCCGAGGTTTGTCAGAAGCGTGGCCTGGCGGCGTGCACCTTTGACAGCTGCGCGACGGGCCCGAACGGCGTCTGGGCAGCATCGCTCGAAATGCTCGAGGAGGGGAAGGAGCTGGGCCACGAGCTGCTGGACAAGGGCGGCATCTACCTCGTGGCCAGGGCGACGCAGGGCTTTCGCTTGGGTACTTTTTTCGAAATTCTGCTCTCGCTGAAGCGCTGGCCTCATTTTCGGGCTAAAGCTCGTTCCGAATCGTCCCGATGCATCGTTGGCCTCATTTCCGCGTTTCCGCTCGTTCCGAATCGTACTCCCGCTGCAGCGCTGGCGTCAGCATTTCCAGCGCGATGCCACGGCATGGTTCTCGGTCCTTCCAACAAATCACAAAATTTTAAAATGCCCCTCCCCCCCGGAAAACCAAAAAAACATCGGAAATGATTTCACATTCGGCGTTGATTAAGTGATTTCTCGGGTCGCAGAAGCCCCCCCGCCATTTGGAGCGTCGCCATGACATGCTATGTCAGGCTAGGCGTCCTCCGCAGCATGCCCCTGCTGCAGCGTTGGCTCATTTCCGCGCTTCCGCTCGGTCCGAATCGTGCTCCCGCTGCAGCGCTGGCGTTAGTATTTCCAGCGCCAAGCCACAGCATGGTGTTCAACCCTTCCAAACAGGCCCCAAAATCTCAAAACACAAAAAAATGCGAAACAACCATCGGATGTGATTACAAATTCGGCGTCGATTCGCTGATTTTTTGAGCCGCAGAAGCCCCCCCACACTTTGGGCCGTCGCAACGCCATGCTATGCCAGGCTACGCGTTGATACTCAACACCACTTTATGCCATGTAATGTCATGCCCTGCTACGACATCAACCTGTGCGAATAAAGAGGAGATCTACAACATGGAAAGGATGGGAGGAAGTGTGACGCCAGATATGACGCGAGCGTACCTAGTTTGTCCTCATGCTTGCTGCTCCTCCTCTTCCTCCTCCTCCTCCTCCTTCTCCTCCTCCTCCTCCGCCTCCGCCTCCGCCTCTGCCTTCGCCGTCGCCTCCTCCTCCTCCGCCTCCTCCTCCTCTCATTATTATCATTATTCTTATATGTTTCATATTAGTATATGTCTTAATAATATAATTGTTATTAGTATTGCTATTATTTTTAATACTATTAGTATTATTACTATTATCATTATATTATGATTGGTAGTAGTAGTATTATTATTATTATCATTAGTATTATTATTATTACTACCATCATTTATAATAGTAGTATTATTAATACTACTATCATTATTATTATTAATATTATTTTTAATGTTATTATTATTGTTATTATTAGTAGTATTATTACTAGCATTGTTATTATTATCATTACTAGTATTACTGTGAATATTATTGTTATTATTATTAGCACTACTAGTTTCATTCGTGTTAGTGGTATTATTATTATTCTTAGTAGTATTATTCACATTACTGGTAGTAGTAGTAGTAGTAGTAGCAGCAGTAGCAGTAGTATTATTACTAAAGTAGCAGCATTACTATTACTATTTTATTAGTTTGATCATTATTCGTATTATTAGTAATAGTTTCAGTACTTCTATTAGTGTTATTACAAGTATTATCAGCATCATCATTAGTATTATTAGTAGTAGTAGTAGTAGTAATAGCAGTAGTAATAGTAGTAGTAGTATTTATCATATTAGTATTAGTATTATTACTGGTATTGGCATTATTACTATTATTATTATTATTACTACTACTATTATTAGTGATCGTATTAGTATTGATATGAGTAGTAGTACTAGCATTAGAATTACTAGTAGTATTCATAAGTCTACAAATCATAATAATGGTATTATCATTAGTATTACTAGTAGTGGTTATATATTATTATTCTTATTCGTACCACTCTAAATATTTCTCTTCGTAGTCGTATTAGTATTATTAATATTATTATTATTATTATTCTCGGTACTAGTATGTGTATGCTTATTCTTCTTCGTATCATGACTATTCGTCTTCTTAGTATGCTTCTTAGTATTATTATTAGTAGCATTGTTAGTACTATTATTGGTATCAATACGACTACTTGTAAGCGTCCAAAACCCGGATAGCGAAAAGCGCGGAACGCCGCACTGGGCGCCGGCGGTAAACCGTCAACCTTGGTTACCGCCGGGGAACTCGTAGAGCTTCCAAGCTCAACTTAAGTTGAGAAAACCGAGAGCACCAACCAACATTCTGACTCATAGTGAATATATTTTTACCTCTCAATGCGACAAGCGGACGCGTCTGATCAGACCGAGTTCAGACCTCTCAATGCGACAGGCGGACGCGTCTGATGTCTTCGAATCGACTCATGTGATTACCAGCCCCGCAGCCCCCCTACAGCCCGAGTTAAGTGCAGAACACCGACAGCATCTCTCAGGATGACTCGAATAATATAATAGTTTCGCAGACCTGTTTCGAGCAGCAGACCAAGTTCTGAGCTCTCGAATCGACCAACGAACGCGCCTGATGTGTGCAAATCGATTTCTATGACCCGCAGCACTAGCCCTCCCCCAGCACGAGTTGAGTGCAGAAAATTGAGAGTACTTTTCACGATGATTCGGACAATACGAACAGTTTCGCGAAGCTAGCTCGGGCAGCAGGCCGTCAGAGCTCTCGATACAACAGACAAACGCGCCTGATAATTCTCAATCGATTTCTGTGACTGTAGGCTCTGTAGCTGCCTACAGCTCGAGTTAAGTACAGAAAAAAATACCGAGAGCGTTTGTCAAGATGACTCGAATAATACGAATAGATTTGCGGACCTAGCTCGGCTAGCAAACCGAGTTCAGACCTCTGGAGTCAAGAGACGAACGCGCCTGATGATTCTGCGATAGGTGTGCTTACCAGCACTGTAGCTGCCCTGCAGCTCGAATTAAGTACAAAATACCCACCACACGTATCAAGTTGACTTGAATAATACGAATAGATTTGCGGACCTAGCTCGGCTAGCA